GAGCGGACAAGGAGGCAGGAACAAATTACGTGGAATTAGGATAAAAACCAGCAAATGATACTACAGGATGAAACATTTGGGGAGAAAAATTCTTGTCCTATCTCACTACAGGATTATTGCAAGCTGTACACCTTGGAGTGCTATGACTGGAAGTCTTCTACCACACACCCCTAAGCCACAGTAGCGTCCAGGAAAGAGACAGGATTAAAGTCCCTCTCCTCAAATAACTTAAACCTCAATATCTTCACTCTTCACAGTCTGCTGTTTACAGGACAAGAGAAAGCAAATTCCAATGAGAAGGTAAGGAACAAAGTGTCCTTCTTTTCTAAGGGCAAAGTTCAGGCAACAATTAAATGTTCTAAAATTCAGACAAATCCAATCTTGCACAAGTTACAGAATCCCATGCTAAAAACTGTAGTGTTTTCACCTCCCCACAAGCCAAAAGCACCAATGGAAACTGCATTCTCTATTCACACAGAAAACTCTTTCACTACCTCTTAACTCATTAAGTTCTCTGGTTTCTGCACATCCGATGTTCTCAAGCACTTTCTTGGTTACACAGTTAGCAAGTACTCTACAAACATTCTAGCAAAACCATACCATGAACATTTCAAAAGTACAAATACATTTTAAACAGATTTTTCTCCTCAGTGGAAAGTAAAGTGAGCACAGAACGACAGCATAGTTTTGTTTTCATACTCCTTACCACTGACAGGAGTGGGACAGGAGTGCAGATAAACATTTAGTAAAGATCACTTGTAGCTTCAGAATTTGTGATGTAGAACTCATTGTAGCCAAGCTATTTTAAAAAAAAAAATCATCTGTTTTGAGTCAGTTGTGATCAGCAGTGTGCACTGGATTATTTATGACATAGAAACCAAGATATGAGAAGCTCTGCGTTCATGGTAAGAAAACCAAGCTGAACCAATCAAGAAAACTGCTGAAAAATTCAGGATATTGAGATTCCTGCTTCCCGTTTCACTCCTCATTAGTGCTTTATTCTGTTGGTTCCACTAAGAAATATAATAAACATAAGGCCCATTAACAATATGTTGAATGATGGAAAAAGAGATATTTTCCTTTTCAAATTTCTGTCCCACCCCAAGTGCCTCTTAATTGTCTATCAGAAAAAGAAAAGAAACAAAAACACATCAATACCTTACCATATCTCAGTATCCCAAGAACCTGAAAGAATTTCAAGGGAACTTCAAAGAAAAGTATGAATTCCTCTAGCCCTTTCTCCCCTTTTCATCTGGCTTGTCCTCTTCAGTCCACAGTTGTATTTCTACAACTTTGTCAAGGATACAATTGATATTTTGGGCTACTTCCCGTCTTACAATAAAACAGTTTCAGAAGAACCATCAAGACTAGTAAGTACTCAGTTTGCTGTAGTGTGATGGAGCAATAAAAAAAGAAATCATAACCATATATTTAGTGAGTGAAAATGTTACTACAACTCTCACATTCTTGCCTTTATGTTTCTTTTTCTCACACTTTATATCTTAAAGTGCCCTATATCTTAAAGTGCCCTCTCTTTTGGGCCACCAGTCTTCAAAACAAATCAGAACAGTACCCTAAGTGTTTAGAGAAAAAAAACACTTCTGAATAGTGATTTTTAGTGATTAACAGAAAACATTAAAACCTCCTGACCTTCCACAACACTCCTAAAACACAACAAGCCAAGTCACTCTTGCCCTTGAAAGAGTGAGATTCTATAACATCGGTGGGATTACTTAGATAAATGAAGTGGGCAAAACTGGAAACAGAGCCCCAAGCTTGAAGCTGATGTGAGGGGTTTTTTTCACAGCTCTATGACAAGGCTATAATTACATTAACAAACCTGCACCATCTAAGTACTAACAAAAACATATACTATCAGAACAGTCTAGAAAAGAACATGAGAAAAAGCATCACTTTATTAAGAAAAAAACAACAACCACAAACAGAATTTTCCAAGAAGCTTTGAAATATGGCATTTTCAACATCAACTTATTTCTAGATATGATTACTTTAAACCATTCCTAACTGTGCTCAAATACACCTGGCAGCCCACAACCATATGACTAATGTCTCACAGCACTAGTCTTTGGTATTTGTATCTTCTAAATCTAAGAGGATAAAAATTATTTAAAAAACATTAGGCATGACTTTTCTATGTAATCATCCAGGGAATGCAGTGTAACAACATTAGAAGGAATATTGTCCATAAAAACTTATCTATTGTACACTTGCTTTACCAATGAAAGATTTTAGGAGCCCATGTACAATGACATTCCACAAGTACATCATGAAAACTTTATCATCTCCATCAGAGAAAATAGCAAAAAAGTCCTAAAGTATCATCGGACAAGGGAATGTGTTTTCAGTCCTTCTGTAGAGGCCACCACTTTCATTTTGACAATTTATGCTGGTTTTGAAACAGCATGAATCCAGATTTTATTGTATTGACAAACTCGGAAAATCACTTCTCAATTTTTCTGACAGCAAGCTCTAATTATGTCCTGTATGGTTTCCAAATGTATATCCTCTAAATAGCTGGAAGTGAAAATGGAATCTAGAGCAAAGGCATCACAGGGCTTTCATGCATTTCTTATTCATTTTTCCAAAACAGGTCACCAATATAAATACTGTCTGGAAACAGGGATGTTGTAAATACAAATAATGCAAGTTGCACATTAAACGGGTTTGTCATTCTCTCTTCTGTGCAGGCAACTCAGCTTCACAGTTGAGCCATGTACACTAAAGCATGGATTCTCTCAAGCACCTAGGGCAAAATTCCTCTTTTTGTTTGTTTTGCATGACTGACACAGGTTAACAATTATTTCAAACACTACTCTTCTGAAAAAGGTCTTTATAATCTGTAATGAGAACTAAGGAAGTAAAATCTCAGGACTTGATTTCTCTTTCACCTGTAAGATATTAATGAAACAATATTTATTCCATCTCTATAGGATGGCAAACACACAAGTGTTACTCATTTTGCTGTCTTTTTCTGCTTTGAAAACACAAATTAAAGGTCTAAAACTAAACAAAACTTCATATTCACTATTTCTAGGGACAGTAAAGCCAGAAGCTTTATAGTGCCTGCATTAAAAAAAAAAAATCACCTGAGAAGGCCAGGTGTAACAAATAACATTGTCCTGTAATACCTTACCACCTCACTAATATTTACAAGGTAATCAACATGTTTTGAAGTACACAGAAATTTAAGTATTAAGTTTGCCACTACTGGAATTTGCTGTTATAGCAAGTGGGACAGAGCAGTAGGCCTTACACAGCACATGATGCTTGTCAAAACTTTCCTATGCAACTTACAGCCAGCAAGCTTCGTGACAACTACCTTTTCTAATTTCATCTGAGAAACATAAGCCAAGGCCCTCATTTATAATTCAGTGCTGCTTGTTCCATAAATTTATAATGTCTTTTAAAACTTTTTTATAATTAGGCTGCACTGTTTTCAATAGCAACATCATACTTCATAATATGCACCAAGTTTTGGTTTCTAATTACTTTTCAGCACCGCTTTGGACAAAATATACGTTTTACAATAGGTATCTTGTGCGCCTGAGATCCTGCTATTAAAAACAGCACTGAAGCCGACTCTAAGAGTCACTAGCATCCCTCACCAGCTGGCAGACGTGCCCTGGGGCGAGCACCTTCCCGCTGGGTCCTTCGCTCGCCGAAGCACTTCCACAGGAGGTTTACAGAGCTCAGACCAGGGAAGGGCAACAAACACCTTGGGCTTCGGCTGGCGGGGAGTGAGCGGATTTGGGCTTGCTAAGGCCTAGCGAGCGCATGAGGCCTCCGCCAGCCGCGGTCCTTCCCCGCCAGCCCCGCACAGCGCTTCGGCCGGGCCGAGGGCCGGGGGAGAGAGGGCACAGGAGGGGCAGGCGCCCGGGATGCTCCGCCAACTGGGAGGGAGGAAGGCGGCCCCTCTCCGCAGAGCCCGGGGGAGAGCGACGGCGAGGAGCCGGCGCGTCCGCTTTGGGAGAGACTCGCAAACTTTGGTACCTGTCGGAACTCCACGAACGCCAGCAACCCCCGGCCACTCCGGGAAGAGCTCTACGGGCTTTCCCCCCAGCCCCAACACGAACTCCCGCAACGGGCTTAGGAATAGTCTGTACCCACGTAGGCAGGGGCTTCTCCTGCCCCCTCCCGCTCCACGCCCCGAGAGGGGACCCCCGGCGCACCTCCAGTCCCGAGGGGACCCTCGGGCGCTCCCCCCGCCCGTCCCCCCGCCCCGGAGCTGCCCCGGCGGCGCCGCTCCGAGCCCACCCCCGCCCGGGCCTCGCCGCCGCCCTGCCCTCGCGCCCACCTGTCCCGGGGGTCGATCCAGCTGGTCTGCTTGGTGTTGTGATCGATGTAGAACACTTTGCCGTCGTAATCCCTTGCCTCCTCCCAGCCATCGGGTAAGGGGAGCTGCCCATTCCCCGCTTTCCTAGGCATGGTCGGGCGGCGGGAGTAGCTGCTCCATAGGGACAGAAAGAAAGACGGGAAGCGGGAAAAGCCACGACCTGGGCCGGGGAAGGGGCCAGGAGCGGGGGCTCGCGGGAGCCCAGTGAACCCCCGTGCGGCGGCCGGGTCTCAGTCCCCCATGCCCGGGCTGCCGCCTCGCCCGCGCCGCGCCGGCCGGGTCAGGGCTGCCGGCGGAGCCCAGCTGCCGTCTGGGCGCGGGGAGCCCGGCTGAGCCCCGGGCGGCCCCGGCCGCCGCTCATTAGCATGAGATTAGCATCCATCTCATCTACATGCACATTCCTCCCGCCGCATTCCTCAGGGTTAACCCTGCCCGCGCTGCCCGCCGGGACGGGCAGGCCATGGCCGCGGATTCGGCACGGGAAGCGTCCGGCGGGGCAGCGCGTAGGGCAGGACGGCGGGGGAGAGAGGCTGCCAGAGGGATCCTCCTGCTTCCGTCGGGCTCTGCCCGGGGGCTCGGCCGGCGTGAAGGCAGGACACAACTCCCTGCGGTAGACGAGGGCTCCGGCGCGTCCCCGCAGCCTGTCGGGACACTGGGGAGGCCCGGGAGCCACGGCCGCCCCGCGGGGACAGCAGCGCCACGGCACGACGGACACCGGCGCGTCCCGTCCTTTGTCTGCCAAGTTGCGGCGGCCCCGCACCGGGTAGCGCAGGCGACTTTATCGCGGGGGATGTCCTGGCCCTGAGGGCTCAGGGAACGCGCCCAGGGAAAAGGCAGCTTTGCCAGTGCCTCCATAAGTCGTGGTGGTGTCGAATTCCCTGTCCCAGCCCTTCAGGTCGCGCTAACCTCACTTCACATCTTGTAAATTCTCCCTAAAGACTCCAGTAAGGCTCAAGGGTTCCCAAAAAGAACCTTCACGTTTAAAATACTTGAGTTCAAAATTTAAATTAAAAAGTGAACTCTTCTTTAACCTTGGAAGTAAACTTGGTGTCTTTAGTTTTGGTTTTGTGTGTTTATTGGTTGGTTGTGGTTTTGTTTTGTTTTTTTTTTGTAATAGAAGCATCGGTGGAAAATACACGTACACCATGTGTGCCCTGAACCCTTGCGGCCTGAAAAGCAGGCAGCTAAGTCGCATTAAGTATAGAAACCAGGTGTGAGTTACTGTGTGTTTATCTCGCATTTGCCACAGGAGAAGAGTATCCCAGGCCGGTTACCATGGTTCAGCTGATAGAAGGTAACTTAATGAGCTCTATTAATTTGCATGTGTATCTGATTCCCAAGATCTGGCATCAGAAACAGAGCATCTATGGGGGAATATGACTCTTTAGTTTAGTGGCTAGGACTCCAAGGTAACCCAAGTCCCTGTCCCCTGGAATATTTTATTTCTTTTCATTTAAAGTTACTGGTTTTAAGTAACAAAATTTTCCTGGAAGAGGAAGTATGTGACCCAGAGCTGTCTTTTCTTATTTTCTTTTTAAGTCTATTTATCTACTCCATTATCGCTGTCTAACATTCAGCTCTACGAATTCTTCTTCAGAGACAATTTACACTTATTAAGTACTGGACTTGTTCAGTGCATAACAAGTTTTTTCATTTTGCTTCAGAGGCCACATATCTGACAGGCATTGAAGTAACTAATTTACAGCTCTCCAAGTCCTACTGTTGGATCTGCTCCTAAATAGAAAAAAGTACCAGCAAGATATGATTTTAATTTAGCTAATTGTCAATCTGGTACAGGTAAGACCTTTATTATTTTATTCATTCTACTTATTTTACCGGGTAACACTGTCTCCACATGGCCCATATGCCTTCCTTCAGATTCTCTTGAAGATTTTACTTTGATATCTGTTATATTAAGGTCAGTCAGTCATGGCTAGGCTTCCGAACAAAGATTAAGGTAATGTGCAGTGAATATTAAGGTAATGTGCAGTGAAACTTCATACATGAAGAAAGACCCCAGTAGTTAACAATGGAGAAAAACTGAGCTGTCCTAACTTCTGGATATCCATAAGAGTTCACCCACTTAGGGAATGCAACAGGATCATTGCCTATTAAAGTGACAGATGCATTTATTTTCATTGAGAATATTAAGTTTCAGTGAGCTGATTGGTTTATAAAGACCAGTCTTGTTTTCCATCAGTGTAAAAGAACCCCACTTTTACTAAGCATTTACATTTGTGTCTTTTTAAATAATCTACTAAATTTTATAAACTTGTGACATCCTACGGTGAGAAAGTACATGTGGCAGTTGTGGGACAGGATAAACCGGATTTCCTTTTCCCATTTAAAGTTCAGTTTGTGTTATCAATAAGATATTTCGTTACGTAAGTTGATAAAAAGCTATAGAGGATATACTTTTCTTCCTGAAATCAGTTGTACAGCTGTGTCACCACCAAGGCAGCCAGACCTACATCTTCGATTATTGGTCAGATGAGATACACAGGGATGTGGATCTGATTTATAAAAAACTTCTCATCAGAGAACTTCAATATTTTAATTTGCACAACAGATAGAAATTGCCATTCTTAAATTTTTGGAAATAAATGCACTAATATCATTGCGTAATTGTCTAATTTTTATGTATATGCTTGAGTGTCTATATACAGATGTGCTTACACTTAAATATAAACTATTGCATGGTGTTAAGCTCTCTTTATCCTCCCTCTAATTTCCATTGTTTGAGTACTTCATTGTGTTTGCCTCTACAGTTAGAGTCTACAGTCCAGAATGCCAGTTTAGGACTACTTAGAAATGACAGTATTTGAAGTCAAACACACAAAATTAGGTATTATTTTTGTAAATAGACTTTAAGATTACCAGTGAGAACATACAGCTTTTTGAAGGACTGCTATTGTACAAAATGGGATCCAATTATCCTCCTAGGTTTTTGTTCTTTTGCAATTTGGACTGATAGAAAATAATTTCTTCCACTACCCTGTAATATTTTTTTAATAAATCTAGTAAAGGAAGGCAGAGCAGATGTTCATACTGATTCTTTTTAGCCTAAAATATGCTATAAATTCTAACTAGAAGTAGTTTTTCAAGTATACCTCCTACATCTCCATTGATAACCTGCCTAGCATGTTGTACTGACATTGTCAGCTGACAGCATACCACAGATTGTTTGTCTTAATTGCGTAAGACAGCATAGTTCAGAAGACATAAACATGCTTTATTCAAAACACAGAAGGGTGCATAGGAAGGAGGTGCCCAAAAGCACAGAACAATGTAGCTATGGCATGAACTTAAGTATCTAACAGTAAGTATGATAAACAAGATGCAATCAACGAAAAGGAGTTAATCATTCCACTCTTTTTCTTTGCATATCCATGTTTAACCAGCCTGAAGAAAGTTCTGTTTTAAGTAGTACATAGTTAAAAGATTGAGCTAAAGGGAATTAGAATAACACCTATGTTGTGTCAGCTAGAAGAAGAAAAAATGTTTATGTGAAAATTCACAACACAAGGGTGGAAATGGCTGTATCCAGAACTGGGGTCTCCAAAGGCTTATACTTGTATCCTGTCACATAACATACCCTACTCCAGTCTTTACTAATGTAATTAATCTCCTGATACTCTCTGCTTGCTTCTTCTTTCACAGTTAATCTGTTCCTGGGACTGACTGTAATCAACAAAGACGTGTTTGTACCTTGTCCTTCCCTAATAAGACTCCCTTAACTTGATGATCCACTAGAGTTTTGTCCCTGATGAAATTTACAGCTGTTAGAGCTCTAACTTGTACTGGCCACAAACAGCTCTGAAGCAGGAGCCGCAGGTGTCTCCCTGCAGATCTGCATAGTTCAATCTCCACTGCTTTCACACAGAATTTCAGTGCAGAATGGACTATGAAGTATGATGACAGAATTAATTTCTAGACACATCTGACAAAAATGTTTGAAAATATGTATTGGTTATATTGGGGTTTTTTAAACACTTAAGGCACCAAGTATGGACAGCGAGCCTGACTTCTGTCACGTGTAGCTACTATAGAAGTCTCAAAAAATAATCAGTATTTTCAGCATTTTAAATATTTGTTTGTTTAACAACAGTGAATTTTATCTAACAGCTATGTTTTCAAATAAAAAAAACCCCACACCAATAAATATGACTCCATGATGCAGTGAGATTTTTTAGTTTTAAAAAGGGGTTAAAAAAACCTGTAAAGAAAAACTGTACATGCATGAGGGAGGAAAGGAGAAGGAGTGCTGCTTTTACTGTTGTCACCTTCTAATGCATGTATACATCTGAGAGTAAAAGATACTGGACTAATATTGTTTCTGGTTGAATTTATCATGAAGCTCTGCAGAATTGATGGAGCCAGATAATGTTTACGCTTACTCAACTTTTCTTGTTATTTCAAAGCCTGCTCTCTCCACTTAAATTCAATTGCTTAGACTGTTCTACAAAGACTTCCCAAAGTATCAGCAAAAAAAGACCATACCAGATTCTGCTTCAAATGAATATATACTAGCTTTTTCCTTTTTTTTTTTTTTTATTTTGGCCTTTTTTCCTTTCTTTCAAGCATGTATAGGAGAAAGTAATGAGCAGTTGCATGTTTTGAGTCCTTGCAGACATAACTAAAATCCTATAAGTCTCCTAGTAAGTGCACAGAACAATTTTAACTGATTGTTATTCTGATTAAGAGTTTAGAGTAGGAAATGGAAAGTTTAGAATGGAAAGGATGTTGTATGAGATTTACCTCAAACCTAGCTATGGAAATGTAACATTTTCATGATAAAGTCTTCTCAAGCTTGCCACCCACTCAAACCACCCATTAAACTGACTTATCGTTGAGTTCTGTTAATTTTGATTCATACTGCTGAAATGTCTGTGGACGAAATAAAAAGGAGATGAAGAATTTTGGTTTTTCCAAAACCCCTATGACTGATGAAGTCCAAATTAGTCTCTGACTCATATTCCCAAAAAATTGTTGATCCAGTCTTGGTATTACATCTTCCAGAGTAACACTCTCACTCTATTTTTTGTGTATTTTTGATACTTGTACACACATTTAAGTGTCCTACCTTTCATCATATCTATGGAATTACAGTGTCTACTCACTGCTGTCTAATGGCTTTGGAAAACGGCAAAGGATGCCTGATCAGCCAAGAAGGTTCCCACGAGCCTGGTCTTCCCTTTTGGCTGCATGTAAGAAAGAAGCAGGCCAGCAATAGAGGGTATGTGCTCATTGGCAGGGAGGGAAGAATGGAGGAGTTTCTCAGTAACAGCTCCTTTGGCAGTGAACAGCAACTAATTTCTTCAAGTATTTAGGATCCTCCATCAAGCAGTATCCAAGTTCACAGGTTTACAGAGCTAATGCTTTTAACAGTCCCTCTCTACTGGTACAAGGATTAAGTGCTCCCACCACAGACTAGTAGAAAGGACTTAGTCTATGCTGTGTTGTACCTAAGGGGGCACAACAGATGAAATACAGAAAGTAAAGTTTTAGCAATAACATTCTGAAGTACGTTTCTGCTCTCTGTCATGCGTGTACTTTCAGAAGCACCGTGCAGTGAATGAAGTAGACTTGAGTAACAGAGTATTTAGCGCCTGCATTACAAAAGAAAAAAAGGTCCTCTGACTGATGGAGAGGCTTAGGGAACCTTTCTTCTACCAAATAAGAAATCTTATTTCAAATGCAAAGAAGTATGAACTTGCCAAACTATAATATGAGGAAAGTTCTTTTCTCCTTTACCCACTTTTCATATCTTCTTTCCCGTCAAAAAATACTGTTTCTTTGCATGAATACAAAGTACTTTGATGTTTGGCCTGGCCAACAACAAAGTAACCTCATTCCTATCTTATTGCTAAGTTAAGCTAAAAACTGTGCTGCAATAATAAAATTTGAATCTGTGCAAATTTATAGCAAAAATGGGACTGATGCATTAATACCAAGATTTAGCACTTCTAGACTGCTAGAGGTATTGCTGAATTGTATGAATCATTCCATGGCAATTTTCATTCTAGTCTGGTTATCCAAAACAGAGAATCACAATGTTTGCACTTTTTGGAGGATTGAAACTATTTGAAGAACACAGCATGATACTATTATGTCCACTTTGTAGTGGACATTAAAAAAAAATTGTATTAAGTGACATGATGGAATAAAAAATACCTAAATGAAATTGGATAGGGATTAGAATGTAGGGTGCTTTCAGCTCCTGAGCTGAAGCTATTGAACTGAATTGTGTCATTTGTATTATTCCAATATGTGGTCTCAGGAATACTTTGGATAAGCTTTCTTATCACAAGAAAAAGATTATAATTCACACAAAACCTCCTTTTTTTTGGTATCTAATTCCCAGGTAAAATGTGTATAAAAGTTATCAATTCCATATGGTCAAGCATGTGTTATGAAATGATTGCATCCAAACATGACAATCCTTTGAATTTCTCAGTGGAAAAAACAAAACAAAAGCATAAATTGTAGTTAGCTGTACTTGTGTGGTCATAAATGAAATATACTAATAAAGAAACAACCTCCAACTGCATAAAAAGATTACACTGAATAATAAAAAAAAAAAATTTGAATCTAGGCAGTCTGCAAAATTCAAGTATTAAATAATGATTAATCCTCAGAGTATGAAATGTCAGAGCTGTTGCTCATAACCAGGTGTTCTATAAAGGTGTACAAGGCAAAAGGATATATAGTTGATGCTTATACCAAAGGAATCACAGAACCATGGGATGATTGAGGTTGGAATGGTGTTGTCTGGAGGTCATCTTGTTCAGCCCCCCTGGTTACACAGGGCCACCCAGAGATGATTGCCCAATCTCCCAGGACCATATCCAGGCATATTTTTT